TGTATGAGGAGTGGTGGCTGTGGGATCCTCTCTGTGTATGAGGAGCGGTGGCTGTGGGGTCCTGTCAGTGTATGAGGAGCGGTGGCTGTGGGATCCTCTCTGTGTATGAGGAGCGGTGGCTGTGGGATCCTCTCTGTGTATGAGGAGCGGTGGCTGTGGGATCCTCTCTGTGTATGAGGAGCGGTGGCTGTGGGATCCTCTCTGTGTATGAGGAGCGGTGGCTGTGGGATCCTCTCTGTGTATGAGGAGCGGTGGCTGTGGGATCCTCTCAGTGTATGAGGAGCGGTGGCTGTGGGGTCTTCTCTCTGTATGAGGAGCGGTGGCTGTGGGACCCTCTCTGTGTATGAGGAGCGGTGGCTGTGGGGTCCTGTCAGTGTATGAGGAGCGGTGTCAGTGAAGAACCGTCCCTCTGTTCCGGTTTTCTCCCCTTGGTAAGTGGTCTTCTCTGTGTATGAGGAGCGGTGGCTGTGGGATCCTATCTGTGTATGAGGAGCGGTGGCTGTGGGATCCTCTCTGTGTATGAGGAGCGGTGGCTGTGGGATCCTCTCTGTGTATGAGGAGAGGTGGCTGTGGGATCCTATCTGTGTATGAGGAGCGGTGGCTGTGGGATCCTCTCTGTGTATGAGGAGCGGTGGCTGTGGGATCCTCTCTGTGTATGAGGAGCTGTGGCTGTGGGATCCTCTCTGTGTATGAGGAGCGGTGGCTGTGGGATCCTCTCTGTGTATGAGGAGCGGTGGCTGTGGGACCCTCTCTGTGTATGAGGAGAGGTGGCTGTGGGACCCTCTCTGTGTATGAGGAGCGGTGGCTGTGGGATCCTCTCTGGGTATGAGGAGCGGTGGCTGTGGGGTCTTCTCTGTGTATAAGGAGCGGTGGCTGTGGGATCCTCTCTGTGTATGAGGAGCGGTGGCTGTGGGATCCTCTCTGTGTATGAGGAGCGGTGGCTGTGGGATCCTCTCTGTGTATGAGGAGCGGTGGCTGTGGGACCCTCTCTGTGTATGAGGAGCGGTGGCTGTGGTGTCCTGTCAGTGTATGAGGAGCGGTTACTGTGGGATCCTTTCTGTGTATGAGGAGCGGTGGCTGTGGGATCCTCTCTGTGTATGAGGAGCGGTGGCTGTGGTGTCCTGTCAGTGTATGAGGAGCGGTGGCTGTGGGATCCTCTCTGTGTATGAGGAGCGGTGGCTGTGGGATCCTCTCTGTGTATGAGGAGCGGTGGCTGTGGTGTCCTGTCAGTGTATGAGGAGCGGTGGCTGTGGGGTCCTGTCAGTGTATGAGGAATGGTGACTGTGGGATACTCTCTGTGTATGAGGAGCGGTGGCTGTGGGGTCCTGTCAGTGTATGAGGAGCGGTGGCTGTGGGATCCTCTCTGGGTATGAGGAGCGGTGGCTGTGGGGTCTTCTCTGTGTATAAGGAGCGGTGGCTGTGGGGACCCTCTCTGTGTATGAGGAGCGGTGGCTGTGGGATCCTCTCTGTGTATGAGGAGCGGTGGCTGTGGGATCCTCTCTGTGTATGAGGAGCAGTGGCTGTGGGATCCTCTCTGTGTATGAGGAGCGGTGGCTGTGGGGTCCTGTCAGTGTATGAGGAGCGGTGGCTGTGGGATCCTCTCTGTGTATGAGGAGCGGTGGCTGTGGGGTCCTGTCAGTGTATGAGGAGCAGTGGCTGTGGGATCCTCTCTGTGTATGAGGAGCGGTGGCTGTGGTGTCCTGTCACTGTATGAGGAGCGGTGGCTATGGGGTCCTGTCAGTGTATGAGGAGCGGTGGCTGTGGGGTCCTCTCTGTGTATGAGGAGCGGTGGCTGTGGTGTCCTGTCAGTGTATGAGGAGCGGTGGCTGTGGTGTCCTGTCACTGTATGAGGAGCGGTGGCTGTGGGACCCTCTCTGTGTATGAGGAGTGGTGGCTGTGGGACCCTCTCTGTGTATGAGGAGCGGTGGCTGTGGGGGTCCTGTCAGTGTATGAGGAGCGGTGGCTGTGGGACCCTCTCTGTGTATGAGGAGCGGTGGCTGTGGGACCCTCTCTGTGTATGAGGAGCGGTGGCTGTGGGGTCTTCTCTGTGTATGAGGAGTGGTGGCTGTGGGATCCTCTCTGTGTATGAGGAGCGGTGGCTGTGGGATCCTCTCTGTGTATGAGGACTGGTGGCTGTGGGGTCCTCTCAGTGTATGAGGAGCGGTGGCTGTGGGATCCTCTCTGTGTATGAGGAGCGGTGGCTGTGGGGTCCTGTCAGTGTATGAGGAGTGGTGGCTGTGGGGTCCTGTCAGTGTATGAGGAGCGGTGGCTGTGGGATCCTCTCTGTGTATGAGGAGCAGTGGCTGTGGGACCCTCTCTGTGTATGAGGAGCGGTGGCTGTGGGACCCTCTCTGTGTATGAGGACTGGTGGCTGTGGGACCCTCTCTGTGTATGAGGAGCGGTGGCTGTGGGACCCTCTCTGTGTATGAGGACTGGTGGCTGTGGGACCCTCTCTGTGTATGAAGAGCGGTGGCTGTGGGGTCCTCTCTGTGTATGAGGAGCGGTGGCTGTGGGATCCTCTCTGTGTATGAGGAGTGGTGGCTGTGGGATCCTCTCTGTGTATGAGGAGCGGTGGCTGTGGGATCCTCTCTGTGTATGAGGTGCGGTGGCGTTGGGGTCCTGTCAGTGTATGAGGAGCGGTGGCTGTGGGGTCTTCTCTGTGTATGAGGACTGGTGGCTGTGGGATCCTCTCTGTGTATGAGGAGCGGTGGCTGTGGGATCCTCTCTGTGTATGAGGAGTGGTGGCTGTGGGGTCCTGTCAGTGTATGAGGAGTGGTGGCTGTGGGGTCCTCTCTGTGTATGAGGAGTGGTGGCTGTGGGATCCTCTCTGTGTATGAGGAGCGGTGGCTGTGGGACCCTCTCTGTGTATGAGGAGTGGTGGCTGTGGGATCCTCTCTGTGTATGAGGAGCGGTGGCTGTGGGGTCCTGTCAGTGTATGAGGAGTGGTGGCTGTGGGATCCTCTCTGTGTATGAGGAGCGGTGGCTGTGGGGTCCTGTCAGTGTATGAGGAGCGGTGACTGTGGGATCCTCTCTGTGTATGAGGAGCGGTGACTGTGGGATCCTCTCTGCGTATGAGGAGCGGTGGCTGTGGGATCCTCTCTGTGTATGAGGTGCGGTGGCGTTGGGGTCCTGTCAGTGTATGAGGAGCGGTGGCTGTGGGGTCTTCTCTGTGTATGAGGTGCGGTGGCTGTGGGATCCTCTCTGTGTATGAGGAGTGGTGGCTGTGGGGTCCTCTCTGTGTATGAGGACTGGTGGCTGTGGGATCCTCTCTGTGTATGAGGAGCGGTGGCTGTGGGATCCTCTCTGTGTATGAGGAGTGGTGGCTGTGGGGTCCTCTCTGTGTATGAGGAGCGGTGGCTGTGGGACCCTCTCTGTGTATGAGGAGTGGTGGCTGTGGGATCCTCTCTGTGTATGAGGAGTGGTGGCTGTGGGGTCCTGTCAGTGTATGAGGAGTGGTGGCTGTGGGGTCCTCTCTGTGTATGAGGAGTGGTGGCTGTGGGATCCTCTCTGTGTATGAGGAGCGGTGGCTGTGGGACCCTCTCTGTGTATGAGGAGTGGTGGCTGTGGGATCCTCTCTGTGTATGAGGAGCGGTGGCTGTGGGGTCCTGTCAGTGTATGAGGAGTGGTGGCTGTGGGATCCTCTCTGTGAATGAGGACTGGTGGCTGTGGGGTCCTCTCTGTGTATGAGGAGTGGTGACTCTTTGGAGACCTCATGGACTAGAATGATTTTTCTTACTTTCATACAGGAGCAAATTTTGGGTTTTAAGTTGTATTTTTGCTAGTAAGGGTGGAGTTCTCCTTTAAGAGCCGCTGGTTTCTGTGAATCCTGAGATCTCTGACCGTCATCCGCTGTGTGTAGCTCATTCATTTCAATGGGTGATAAACGCAGGGAATGAAGCCCCCGAAATTCTTTCTAAAACCGCTTCGCATCCAACCGCATGGTGCTGCAGAATGATTGGCGTCTGCTAAAGAGCAGCGCGTTTCGTGCGTTCGCGGCGTGTTCGGCGAGTCTAATCATGTTCCGTTCAGGATCTTTGCGTCCCGCCTGTCCTCTCCGATAAAAAAATAAAAATGAACACCGAAGGTCACCGCCATGACGCACTCAGCTGCGCCCTGCGACTCTGAAGGGATTTTTTATTGCCCTCCACTCCCAATATTTCTGCATCCATCCAATAAAGCGGAATCCACGATTTATCTTCCCCCGCCGCCCGTCTCGCGGTTCTCGCTGAGACAGAAAATAATGTTCTGCAGTTCATGAATTATGAAGCATCTGCAGCAGCATTTCCCGGCGGGGGTCAAAAGTTCAAGAACATCACAGAGGAAATGATGAGCGAATGCGCGGCGTGTAACGAGGAGATAACGATGCGACGCGGTTGATGCATGAGAGCTTTATGTCATTCGGGTTTTATCCGTCGGATGGATTTGTCTCATGTGTACATGGTGTCCATGTCGGGAAATTCACAGATCCCTCTGTTCTGGGCACAAGGATACAATGACACCTGCGTCATCAGGCTCCGCCCATTTCAGTATAGTTACATTGTTACATAGGATAAAAATAATTGATACATCGAGACGAGTTCAACTAACAGAAAACCAAAAAAAATAAAACATTTACCCTAAGAATCCCCAAAACCCACAGATGACCCAGAGGAAGGCAAAACCCCTTCAAAGCAACAGGAACAATCCTCCTGGGACGTCAAAGCCAGGGGTCCGGTCAGGAACATTTTCTTCTATTAACGTGCCCCCTTACATCCGATGTCCCCATCAGGGTGCCCCCTTACATCAGGTGTCCCCCTCAGGGTGCCTCCTTACATCAAGTGTCCCCCTCAGGGTGCCTCCTTACATCAGGTGTCCCCATCAGAGTGTCTCCTTACATCAGGTGTCCCCATCAGAGTGTCTCCTTACATCAGGTGTCCCATCAGAGTGTCTCCTTACATCAGGTGTCCCCATCAGGGTGCCCCCTTACATTGGGTGTCCCCATCAGAGTGTCTCCTTAAATCAGGTGTCCCCATCAGGGTGCCTCCTTACATCAGGTGTCCCCATCAGGGTGCCTCCTTACATCAGGTGTCCCCATCAGAGTGTCTCCTTACATCAGGTGTCCCCATCAGAGTGTCTCCTTACATCAGGTGTTCCCATCAGAATGCCTCCTTACATCAAGTGTCCCCCCTCAGGGTGCCTCCTTACATCAAGTGTCCCCCCTCAGGGTGCCCCCTTACATCAGGTGTCCCATCAGAGTGTCTCCTTACATCAGGTGTCCCCATCAGGGTGCCCCCTTACATTGGGTGTCCCCATCAGAGTGTCTCCTTAAATCAGGTGTCCCCATCAGGGTGCCTCCTTACATCAGGTGTCCCCATCAGGGTGCCTCCTTACATCAGGTGTCCCCATCAGAGTGTCTCCTTACATCAGGTGTCCCCATCAGAATGTCTCCTTACATCAGGTGTCCCCATCAGGGTGCCTCCTTACATCAGGTGTCCCCATCAGAGTGTCTCCTTACATCAGGTGTCCCCATCAGAGTGTCTCCTTACATCAGGTGTTCCCATCAGAATGCCTCCTTACATCAAGTGTCCCCCCCTCAGGGTGCCTCCTTACATCAGGTGTCCCCCTCAGGGTGCCTCCTTACATCAGGTGTCCCCATAAGGGTGTCCATTGCATCAGGAGTCCTCAACAGAATGCCTCCTTATATCAGAAGTCCCCATCAGAGTGTCTCCTTACATCAGGTGTGTCCATCAGGGTTTCCAGTACATCAGCTGTCCCCATCACAGTGTCTCCTTACATCAGGTGTCCCTATCAGAGTGTCTCCTTACATCAGGTGTTTCCATCAGGGTGCCTCCTTACATCAGGTGTCCCCATCAGGGTGTCCATTACATCAGATATCCCCATCAGGGTGTCCATTACATCAGGTGTCCCCAACAAGGTGTCCATTACATCAAATGTCCCCATCAGGGTGTCCATTACATCAGATGTCCCCATCAGGGTGTCCATTACATCAAATGTCCCCATCAGGGTGTCCATTACATCAGATGTCCCCATCAGGGTGTCCATTACATCAAATGTCCCCATCAGGGTGTCCATTACACCAGGTGTGTCCATCTGGATGTTCATTACATTAAGTGTCTCCAACAGGGTGCCTCCTTATATCAGGAGTCCCCATCAGGGTGCCTCCTTACATCAGGTGTCCCCATCATCAGGGTGTCCATTACATCAGATGTCCCCATCAAGGTGTCCATTACATCAGATGTCCCCATCAGGGTGTCCATTACATCAGATGTCCCCATCAGGGTGTCCATTACACCAGGTGTGTCCATCTGGATGTTCATTACATTAAGTGTCTCCAACAGGGTGTCTCCTTATATCAGGAGTCCCCATCAGAGTGGCCATTACATCAGGTGTCCCATTAGGGTGTCCATTACATCAGGTGTCCCATTAGGGTGTCCATTACATCAGGTTCCCCATCAGGGTGTCTCCTTACATCAGGTTCCCCATCAGGGTGCCTCCTTACATCAGGTTCCCCATCAGGGTGTCTCCTTACATCAGGTGTCCCATCAGGGTGTCCATTACATCAGGTGTCCCCATCAGAATACCTCCTTATATCAAGTGTCCCCAAGTGTTCCCCCTTACATCAGGCATCCTCCCAATCAGCATGCCCCGTTACATAGTTATATAGTTAGTCTGGATGAAAAAAGACAGAAGTCCATTCAGTTCAACCATTAAAAATAAATAAATAAATAAAAAAGTTATAATCCTACACCCAGAGTTGATCCAGAGGAAGGTAAAAAACCCAGCAAAGCACGATCCAATTTGCTCCTGCAGGGAAACCAATTCCTTCCTGATCCCCCCCGAGAGGAAATCGGATATTCCCTGGATCAACGTCACCTATAAATGTTATATCCAGTTATATTCTGTGTATCCAAGAAAGAATCCAGGACTTTCCTACAGCAATCCACTGAGCTGGCCACAACCAACTCTGGAGGGAGTCTATTCCACATTCTCACAGCTCTTACTGTGAAGAAACCTTTCCGTGTTTGGAGATTACATTTCTTTTCCTCCAGACATAAAGAGCGCCCCCTTGTCCTCTGTGATGACCTCAGGGGGAATGACTACACCGAGTTCACTATATGAACCACCGATGTATTATACATGGAGATCATATCCCCCCCTTATGTATTATACATGGAGATCATATCCCCCCTTATGTATTATACATGGAGATCATATCCCCCCCTTATGTATTATACATGGAGATCATATCCCCCCCTTATGTATTATACATGGAGATCATATCCCCCCTTATGTATTATACATGGAGATCATATCCCCCCTTATGTATTATACATGGAGATCATATCCCCCTTATGTATTATACATGGAGATCATATCCCCCTTATGTATTATACATGGAGATCATATCCCCCCCTTATGTATTATACATGGAGATCATATCCCCCCCTTATGTATTATACATGGAGATCATATCCCCCCCTTATGTATTATACATGGAGATCATATCCCCCCCTTATGTATTATACATGGAGATCATATCCCCCCCTTATGTATTACACATGGAGATCATATCCCCCTTATGTATTATACATGGAGATCATATCCCCCCTTATGTATTATACATGGAGATCATATCCCCCCTTATGTATTATACATGGAGATCATATCCCCCTTATGTATTATACATGGAGATCATATCCCCCCTTATGTATTATACATGGAGATCATATCCCCCCTTATGTATTATACATGGAGATCATATCCCCCCTTATGTATTATACATGGAGATCATATCCCCCCTTATGTATTATACATGGTGATCATATCCCCCCTTATGTATTATACATGGAGATCATATCCCCCCCTTATGTATTATACATGGAGATCATATCCCCCCTTATGTATTATACATGGAGATCATATCCCCCCTTATGTATTATACATGGAGATCATATCCCCCTTATGTATTATACATGGAGATCATATCCCCCCTTATGTATTATACATGGAGATCATATCCCCCCTTGTGTATTATACATGGTGATCATATCCCCCTTATGTATTATACATGGAGATCATCCCCCCCTTTATGTATTATACATGGTGATCATATCCCCCCTTATGTATTATACATGGAGATTATATCCCCCCCTTATGTATTATACATGGTGATCATATCCCCCCTTATGTATTATACATGGAGATTATATCCCCCCCTTATGTATTATACATGGAGATCATATCCCCCCCTTATGTATTATACATGGAGATCATATCCCCCCTATGTATTATACATGGAGATCATATCCCCCCTTATGTATTATACATGGTGATCATATCCCCCCTTATGTATTATACATGGAGATCATATCCCCCCTTATGTATTATACATGGAGATCATATCCCCCCTTGTGTATTATACATGGAGATCATATCCCCCCTTATGTATTATACATGGAGATCATATCCCCCCTTATGTATTATACATGGAGATCATATCCCCCTTATGTATTATACATGGAGATCATATCCCCCCTTATGTATTATACATGGAGATCATATCCCCCCCCTATGTATTATACATGGAGATCATATCCCCCCTTATGTATTATACATGGAGATCATATCCCCCCTTATGTATTATACATGGAGATCATATCCCCCCTTATGTATTATACATGGTGATCATATCCCCCCCTTATGTATTATACATGGAGATCATATCCCCCCTTATGTATTATACATGGAGATCATATCCCCCCCCTTATGTATTATACATGGAGATCATATCCCCCCTTATGTATTATACATGGAGATCATATCCCCCCCTTATGTATTATACATGGAGATCATATCCCCCCTTATGTATTATACATGGAGATCATATCCCCCTTATGTATTATACATGGTGATCATATCCCCCCCCTATGTATTATACATGGAGATCATATCCCCCTTATGTATTATACATGGAGATCATATCCCCCCTTATGTATTATACATGGAGATCATATCCCCCCCTTATGTATTATACATGGAGATCATATCCCCCCTTATGTATTATACATGGAGATCATATCCCCCCTTATGTATTATACATGGAGATCATATCCCCCCCTTATGTATTATACATGGAGATCATATCCCCCCTTATGTATTATACATGGAGATCAATATCCCCCCCTTATGTATTATTCACATGGAGATCATATCCCCCCCTTATGTATTATACATGGAGATCATATATCCCCCTTATGTATTATACATGGAGATCATATCCCCCCTTATGTATTATACATGGAGATCATATCCCCCCTTATGTATTATACATGGAGATCATATCCCCCTTTATGTATTATACATGGAGATCATATCCCCCCTTATGTATTATACATGGAGATCATATCCCCCCTTATGTATTATACATGGAGATCATATCCCCCCCTTATGTATTATACATGGAGATCATATCCCCCCTTATGTATTATACATGGAGATTATATCCCCCTTATGTATTATACATGGAGATCATATCCCCCCCTTATGTATTATACATGGAGATCATATCCCCCCTTATGTATTATACATGGAGATCATATCCCCCTTATGTATTATACATGGTGATCATATCCCCCTTATGTATTATACATGGAGATCATATCCCCCCTTATGTATTATACATGGAGATCATATCCCCCCTTATGTATTATACATGGAGATCATATCCCCCTTATGTATTATACATGGAGATTATATCCCCCTTATGTATTATACATGGAGATCATATCCCCCCTTATGTATTATACATGGAGATCATATCCCCCCCTTATGTATTATACATGGAGATCATATCCCCCCTTTATGTATTATACATGGAGATCATATCCCCCCTTATGTATTATACATGGAGATCATATCCCCCCTTATGTATTATACATGGAGATCATATCCCCCCTTATGTATTATACATGGAGATCATATCCCCCCTTATGTATTATACATGGAGATCATATCCCCCCCTTATGTATTATACATGGAGATCATATCCCCCCCTTATGTATTATACATGGAGATCATACCCCCTTATGTATTATACATGGAGATCATATCCCCCCTTATGTATTATACATGGAGATCATATCCCCCCTTATGTATTATACATGGAGATCATATCCCCCCTTATGTATTATACATGGTGATCATATCCCCCCTTATGTATTATACATGGAGATCATATCCCCCCTTATGTATTATACATGGAGATCATATCCCCCCTTATGTATTATACATGGAGATCATATCCCCCCTTATGTATTATACATGGAGATTTTATCCCCCTTATGTATTATACATGGAGATCATATCCTCCCCTTATGTATTATATATGGTGATGGATCATATCCCCCCTTATGTATTATACATGGAGATCATATCCCCCTTATGTATTATACATGGTGATCATATCCCCCTTATGTATTATACATGGAGATCATATCCCCCCTTATGTATTATACATGGAGATCATATCCCCCCTTATGTATTATACATGGAGATCATATATCCCCCTTATGTATTATACATGGAGATTATATCCCCCTTATGTATTATACATGGAGATCATATCCCCCCTTATGTATTATACATGGAGATCATATCCCCCTTATGTATTATACATGGAGATTATATCCCCCTTATGTATTATACATGGAGATCATATCCCCCTTATGTATTATACATGGAGATCATATCCCCCTTATGTATTATACATGGAGATTTATCCCCCCTTATGTATTATACATGGAGATCATATCCCCCCTTATGTATTATACATGGAGATCATATCCCCCCCTTATGTATTATACATGGAGATCATATCCCCCTTATGTATTATATACATGGAGATCATACCCCCCTTATGTATTATACATGGAGATCATATCCCCCTTTTGTATTCTACCAGAACCCCCCAGATCCTTCTCCACCATTGATCACCCCAGATCCTTCTCCACTATTGACCATCCCCCCCCCCCCCCGCTAGTATGTATGATGCATGCCATATTCTTAGCCCCAAGTGCAGAACCTTACATTTTCAACATTAAACCTCATTGGCCCCATAGTCCCCCCAATCACACAGAGCATTGAGGTCGGCTTGTAAGTTGGAGACATCCTGTAAGGACGTTATTCCCCGGCACAGCTTGGTGTCATCTGCAAAGACTGAAATCCCGACCCCATATCATATATATATAGATTACAAAATAAGGGTCCCAACACTGAACTTTGGGGTACCCCACTGACACCCCTAGACCATGCAGGGTATGAATCATTAACCACTACTCTCTGAATACCATCTTTTAGCCAGTTTTCTATCCATTTACATACGGATTTTTTCAGCCTGTAGCCACCCCTCTGTCCAAGTATACCATGTCCACTCCTCCCCTGTGTCCAAGGATACCACGTCCACAGCCACCCCTCTGTCCAAGTATACCACGTCCACAGCCACCCCTCTGTCCAAGTATACCCACGTCCACAGCCACCCCTCTGTCCAAGTATACCACGTCCACAGCCACCCTCTGTCCAAGTATACCACGTCCACAGCCACCCCTCTGTCCAAGTATACCACGTCCACAGCCACCCCTCTGTCCAAGTATACCACATCCACAGCCACCCTCTGTCCAAGGATACCATGTCCACCGCCACTCTGTCCAAGTATACCACGTCCACAGCCACCCCTCTGTCCAAGTATACCACGTCCACAGCCACCCCTCTGTCCAAGTATACCACGTCCACAGCCACCCCTCTGTCCAAGTATACCACATCCACAGCCACCCCTCTGTCCAAGGATACCATGTCCACTCCTCTGTCCAAGTATACCACCCACGTCCACAGCCACCCCTCTGTCTAAGTATACCACATCCACAGCCACCCTCTGTCCAAGTATTCCACGTCCACAGCCACCCCTCTGTCCAAGTATACCACATCCACAGCCACCCTCTGTCCAAGTATACCATGTCCACTCCTCTGTCCAAGTATACCACGTCCACAGCCACCCCTCTGTCCAAGTATACCACATCCACAGCCACCCCTCTGTCCAAGGATACCATGTCCACTCCTCTGTCCAAGTATACCACGTCCACAGCCACCCCTCTGTCCAAGTATACCACATCCACAGCCACCCCTCTGTCCAAGGATACCACGTCCACAGCCACCCCTCTGTCCAAGGATACCACATCCACAGCCACCCCTCTGTCCAAGGATACCACGTCCACAGCCACCCCTCTGTCCAAGGATACCATGTCCACAGCCACCCCTCTGTCCAAGTATACCACGTCCACCGCCACCCCTCTGTCCAAGTATACCACGTCCACCGCCACCCCTCTGCCCAAGTATACCACGTCCACAGCCACCCCTCTGTCCAAGTATACCACGTCCACAGCCACCCCTCTGTCCAAGTATACCACGTCCACCACCACCCCTCTGTCCAAGTATACCACGTCCACCGCCACCCCTCTGTCCAAGTATACCACGTCCACAGCCACCCCTCTGTCCAAGTATACCACGTCCACCGCCACCCCTCCGTCCAAGGTTTTGCTCACCTCCTCAGATTTGTCTGGCAACTTCTGTCTTTCATGAATCCATGCTGTCTGTTGCTTAAAATATTTTTTTCCAGCAAGAAACTCCTCTCTGTGTCTTTTATTAAACTCTCCAGTATCTTCCCAACTATAGAAGTTACACTAACAGGTCTATAATTACTTGGGAAAGACTTTGATCCCTTTTTAAACCTCCCCCACCATGACATCAGTCCTAGTCAAAGTTCCCCCTACATCATCGGTCACCATCAGGATGTCCTTTACATCAGGAAACCCCTTACATTAGGAGTCCCCATCAGGGTACTTTATACATCAGTGTCTCCATCAGAGTGCCCTCTTACATCAAATATTCCGGTCAGAGTGCCCCTATGCATTAGGTGTCCCCAACAGAGTCTACCTTACATCAGATCACCCTCTTACATCATGTGTCCCCATCAGAGTGCCCCCTTATATCAGATATCCCCATCAGAGTACCCCTTACATCAGGTGTCCCCATCAGAGTCACCCTTACATCAGGTATCCCCACCAGAGTGCCCCCTTATATCAGATATCCCCATCAGAGTACCCCTTACATCAGGTGTCCCCATCAGAGTCACCCTTACATCAGGTATCCCCACCAGAGTGCCCCCTTACATCAGATATCCCCATCAGAGTACCCCCTTACATCAGGTGTCCCCATCACGGTGCCCCATTGTATAAGGATCCCTATCAGTGTCCTTTCTTACATCAGATGTCCCCATAAGAGTCCCCCTTACTTCAGGTGTCCCAAGCAGAGTCCCTCTTACTTCAGGTGTCCCCAGCAGAGTCCACCTTACATCTGGTATCCACATCAGAGTGCACCCTTACATCAGGTGTCCCCATCAGAGTGCACTCTTGCATCAAATATCCCCATCGGAGTACCCCCTTACATCAGGTATCCCCACTAGAGTGCCCCCTTACATCAGATATCCCCATCAGAGTACCCCCTTATATCAGGTGTCCCCATCACGGTGCCCCATTGTATAAGGATCCCTATCAGTGTCCTTCCTTACATCAGATGTCCCCATCAGGGTGCCCCCTTACATCAGGTGTCCCCCTCAGGGTGCCCCCTTACATCAGGTGTCCCCATCAGAGTCCACCTTACATCAAGTATCCCCATCGGATTACCCCCTTACATCAGGTATCCCCACTAGAGTGCCCCCTTACATCAGGTATCCCCACCAGAGTGCCCCCTTACATCAGGTATCCCCACCAGAGTGCCCCCTTACATCAGGTATCCCCACCAGAGTGCCCCCTTACATCAGGTATCCCCACTAGAGTGCCCCCTTACATCAGGTATCCCCACCAGAGTGCCCCCTTACATCAGGTATCCCCATCAGAGTGCCCCCTTACATCAGGTATCTCCATCAGAGTGCCCCCTTACATCAGATGTCCCTATCAGAGTGCCCCCTTACATCAGATGTCCCTATCAGAGTGCCTCCCACTATCATTTGTCCTCATCAGAGCACCCCCTTACATTAAGTGACACCATCACAATACATCCCATTATAATATGTCCCCATTAGAGTCCCTACTGTATATGAGGGTCCCTATCAGTGTCTCTCCTTACATCAGGTATTCCCATCAGACAAGGCGATGCCTAGAGCAACAATTTTTAGGGGGGTGACACTTCTCCCCCCCAGAAGGGACCTGGTTAGCAGTGGCAGACTGAACCATGCAGGGCCACCATCAGAGGGGTACCACACACACACACACACACACTATGATTACCGCCCCCCCCTACCCACATTTCCTGCTGCCCAGAGATGAGCAGTCCTTGGAGGAGTTGGGGGGTGGTAATCATACTGTGTGGGTGTGTACTGCCCCCTGCGATCTATCAGTGATCGTGTATCATGTGCTTCATGGCTGACAGGAGGGAGAGCTCAGAGGACACAACACAGCTCACCTCCTCCTGGCTCTTTACTCTCCACTTTTTCTAGGAAGTGTAATGAGGATTTGGGGAGGGGGGGGGGGGGGGGGTTGTGGTGTTATTTGCTAGGAGAAATGGAGGGAATAGAGAAAGAGGGGAGTGAGAGAGAGGAGAGCGAGAGAGGGGGGAGAGAAGGAGAGAGAGCGAGAGAGAGGGGGAGAGAGAAGGAGAGAGAGAGGGGGGGGGAGAGAGGGGGAGAGAAAGAGGTAAAGAGGGGGGGGGGAGAGAGGTAGAGAGAGGGGGAGAGGGAGAGAGAGGGGGAGGAAGAGAGAGAGGAGGGGATAGAAGGGGAAGAGAGCGAGAGAGAGGGGGAGAGAGAAGGAGAGAGAGGGGGGGGAAGAGAGAGGGGGAGAGAAGAGGTAAAGAGAGGGGGGGGGAGAGGTAGAGAGAGGGGGAGAGGGAGAGAGGGGGGGAGGAAGAGAGAGAGGAGGGGGGAGAGAAGGAGAGAGAGCGAGAGAGAGGGGGAGAGAGAAGGAGAGAGAGAGGGGGGGAGAGAGAGGGGAGAGAAAGAGGTAAAGAGAGGGGGGAGAGAGAGAGAGGAAGAGAGAGGGGAGAGGGAGAGAGAGGGGGAAGGAAGAGAGAGAGGAGAGGGGCAGGGGGAGAGGGAGGGGGAGAGAGAGAGAAGGAGAAGGGGAGGGAGAGGGAGGGAGAGAGAGAAGGAGAGAGAGAGAAGGAGAGGGGGAAGAGAAAGGGAGGGAGAGAGAGATAGAAAGGAGAGAGGGGGGGAAGGAGAGAGAGGAGGGAAGAGAGAGGGGGGGGGAGAGAGAGGAGGGAAGAGAGAGGGGGGGGAGAGAGAGGGGGGGGAGCAGAGAAATAGAAGGAGAGAGCGAGGGGGGAGAGAGGAAAAAAATGGATCCAGAAATGTCTGGGGAGAGTTCGGGGGGGGGGGGGGGGGGACAGACAAAACTTTCCCGACAAACTGAGGGGGTTCAGAACCAGAACTTGGTAGATAAAGGGGTGGAGTGTAGAGGATATGGGGGGGGGCTGGGGGGGGGCAGGGAATATTGGGAGGGAGGAAGGAGATGTTGAGAGGCTGTGGATTTTGGGGGGAGGCTGGGAATATTGGAGATGAAGAAGATATTGGGGGGGGGGGGGCAAGGGATATTGGGGAGGAAGGAGATGTTGGGGAGAGGATATTTGGAGCAGACACACATGGGTATGGGGGGGGGGCAGGGGTATTGAGGGGGTAGGGAATCAAGGGGAAGGGGGTATTCAGGAGACAAGGGGCATCAGGGGCAGGGGATATTGAAGGGAGGAAGGAGATGTTGGGGAGAGGCAGGGGGTATTGGGGGCAGGGAATATTGGGAGGGAGGAAGGAGGTGTTGGGGAGAGGCAGGGGTATTGGGGGCAGGGAATATTGGGAGGGAGGAAGGAGATGTTGAGAGGGAGTGGATTTTGGGGGGAGGCTGGGGATATCGGAGATGAAGAAGATATTGGGGGGGGGGAATATTTGGGGAAGAGATTATTTAGGGAGGCAGAGGGTATTGGGGGCAGGAGATACTAGAGAATATCTTGGGGGGGGGCAAGGGATATTTGGGGGGAAGGGGATATATGGGGTGGCAGGGAATATTAGGGGAAGGGGATATTCCAGGAGACAGGGGGCATTGGGGGAGGGAGGAGATGTTTTTGGGGGGAGGCAGGGGGTATCAGGGGAGGGAATGAATATAAATTGAAGGGAGTATTCAGGGAGATAGGGGCTATTGGGGGCAGGGAATATTGGGGGGAGGAAGGAGATGTTGGGTAGAGGCAGTGGATTTTGGGGGGGAGCAGAAGATATTGGGGGGAGCAGGGAGTATTGGTTAGAAGCAGGGGATATTGGGAATGAAGAAGATATTGGGGGGAAGGGGATATGGGTGGAGGGAAGGGATTTTTCGTGGTGGCAGGGGGTATTGGGGGGCAGGGGATACTAGAGGATATCTTAAGAGGGGAGGCAGGGGATATTGGGGGGAAAAGGATATATGGGGGAGCAGGGAATATTAGGGGAAGGGGGTATTCCAGGAGGCAGGGGATATATTGGGGGGAGGGAGGAGATGTTGGGGAGAGGCAGAGGATATTTTAGGGAAAGCAAGGGATATTGGGGAGGGCGGGGTATAATGGGGGGCAGAGGATAATGGGGGGAAGGCAGGGGATATTGGGGGGACTGGGGGATATCGGAGTGACGGGATATTGGGGAGGAAGGAGACACTAGTGGGGGAGCAGGGAACACTGAGGGGAGGCAGCAGATTTAAGAGGAAAGGAAGGGAATATTGGGGGGAAGGGGGTACTGGGGAGAGGTAGGGAGTATTAGGGCAAGGGGATATTCTGGGGGGCCAGGGGGTATTGGATAGGAAAGAGATATTTGGGGGGTGGGGGAAGATGGGGAAGGAGAAGCAGATTTAGGGGACAGGGAGACAAGGAATATTGGGGGGGGGGGGGGGGGGGGATATAATGGAGCAGGTGATATTGGGGGGAACAGAGGATATTAAAGGAGGCAGGGATAGTGGGGGGTAGCAGGGGGTGTTTAAGGGGAAGCAAGGGATATGGGTGAGCAGAAGATTATGGGGGGGAGCAGGGGATATTGGAGGGAAGAAGAGGATATTGGGAAGAGGGAATATTGATGGGGGGGGGGGCAGTTAAATCTTGGCTCTGTGTCCCTCTGTGAGTACACATTGTATCTTCTTGTCTCTGTATAAGTATACATTGTATCTTGCGGCCTCTGTATTAGTATACATTGTATCTTGTGGCCCCTGTATTAGTATACATTGTATCTTGTGGCCCCTGTATTAGTATACGTTGTATCTTGTGGCCCCTGTATTAGTATACATTGTATCTTGTGGCCCCTGTATAAGTATACATTGTATCTTGTGGCCTCTGTATAAGTATACATTGTATCTTGTGGCCCCTGTATTAGTATACATTGCATCTTGTGGCCCCTGTATTAGTATACATTGTATCGTGTGGCCCCTGTATTAGTATACATTGTATCTTGTGGCCTCTGTATAAGTATACATTGTATCTTGTGGCCCCCTGTATTAGTATACATTGTATCTTGTGGCCCCTGTATTAGTATACATTGTATCTTGTGGCCCCTGTATTAGTATACATTGTATCTTGTGGCCCCTGTATTAGTATACATTGTATCTTGTGGCCCCTGTATTAGTATACATTGTATCTTGTGGCCCCTGTATAAGTATACATTGTATCTTGTGGCCCCTGTATTAGTATACATTGTATCTTGTGGCCCCTGTATAAGTATACGTTGTATCTTGTGGCCCCTGTATTAGTATACATTGTATCTTGTGGCCCCTGTATAAGTATACATTGTATCTTGTGGCCTCTGTATAAGTATACATTGTATCTTGTGGCCTCTGTATTAGTTATACATTGTACATTGTATCTTGTGGCCCCTGTATTAGTATACATTGTATCTTGTGGCCCCTGTATTAGTATACATTGTATCTTGTGGCCCCTGTATTAGTATACATTGTATCTTGTGGCCCCTGTATTAGTATACATTGTATCTTGTGGCCTCTGTATAAGGATACATTGTACCTTGTGGGCCCGCCCTGTATAAGGATACATTGTATCTTGTGGCCCCTGTATTAGTATACATTGTATCTTGTGGCCCCTGTATTAGTATACATTGTATCTTGTGGCCTCTGTATTAGTATACATTGTATCTTGTGGCCCCTGTATTAGTATACATTGTATCTTGTGTGGCCCCTGTATAAGGATACATTGTACCTTGTGGGCCCCCCCCTGTATTAGTATACATTGTACCTTGTGGCCCCCCCCCCCCCCCTGTATAAGGATACATTGTATCTTGTGGCCCTTGTATAAGGATACATTGTATCTTGTGGCCCCTGTATTAGTATACATTGTATCTTGTGGCCCCTGTATTAGTATACATTGTATCTTGTGGCCCCTGTATTAGTATACATTGTATCTTGTGGCCCCTGTATTAGTATACATTGTATCTTGTGGCCCCTGTATTAGTATACATTGTATCTTGTGGCCCCTGTATAAGGATACATTGTATCTTGTGGGCCCCCCCTGTATAAGGATACATTGTATCTTGTGGCCCTTGTATAAGGATACATTGTATCTTGTGGCCCCCCTGTATTAGGATACATTGTATCTTGTGGCCCCCTGTATTAGTATACATTGTATCTTGTGGCCCCTGTATTAGTATACATTGTATCTTGTGGCCCCTGTATTAGTATACATTGTATCTTGTGGCCCCTGTATTAGTATACATTGTATCTTGTGGCCCCTGTATTAGTATACATTGTATCTTGTGGCCCCTGTATTAGTATACATTGTATCGTGTGGCCTCTGTATTAGTATACATTGTATCTTGTGGCCCCTGTATTAGTATACATTGTATCTTGTGGCCCCTGTATAAGGATACATTGTACCTTGTGGGCCCCCCCCCGTATAAGGATACATTGTACCTTGTGGGCCCCCCCTGTATTAGGATACATTGTATCTTGTGGCCCTTGTATAAGGATACATTGTATCTTGTGGCCCCTGTATTAGTA